GTTTTTGTAGAGATAATTCATTTTTAAAAGTACACATTCTCGGGTGCCTGGGTGGCTCAGTTGGTTAAGCAACTGCCTTCGGCTCAGGTCTTGATCCCGGAGTCCCGTAATCGAGTCCCATGTCGGGCTCCCTGCTCAGCGGGGAGTCTGCTTCTCCCTCTGACCCTACCCCGTCTTGGGCTCTCTCTCTCTCACTCTCTCAATAAATAAAATCTTAAAAAAATATATAAAAATAAATAAATAAATAAATAAATAATAAAAGTACACATTCTCAGGCCAAATATTTTTAATGGTCACAAGAATTTTGTTACAAACCTGTCTGGCATATTAGCTTCATAATCATATAACTTCTTATTCCAGGATTTAGCCTTAAGAAAATCATCTTCCAGTGCCCCAGAAATTTCATTCTTTGGCCTCCAATAGTCTCTTTGACTTTCTTCATCAAAACCATCACTACGCATCCGGCTATAAGGAAAAACAGAAGAATTTTACATTTAGAAGCAATCTGTGAGGTTCCTTTAACGAATGGCATGCACAAAACCCACTGAACAAGCTAAGAGGAAAACAAAACCACCAATTTAGTGCTAAAAAAAAAAACAGAAACCAATGTAAAAAGACATGATCTGTTCCTCTCCATAAGTCTGTATAGTTGTCCAGTGAAAATCTGACCATTACTACCCATCCTATTGCAGAATACAGACAAAATGACTTATGGACTGTGGCATGCTATAGCTCATGCATTGACTCACAAGTAGGAGGACATGCAAAGAGGGGAGTAGAGCATAATCACAGCTGGGAACATTGCAAACTACCCTAGAAATATATTCCCTTCCCAGAAAACCAGCAACTTGCTACAGTGAGGTCATAGCAATGTAGGAGCAAGGCCTAACCCATGAGTAGGCTGGGGTAGAAAAAAAGTTGAGAACCACAGATATAGCCTGTGCTTACAAGGTCCACTAACAAGTCACTAAACAAGCTAATCAACTATCAAAAATGTTTAAGAGCCTCCTATATGCTAGTCGCCATTCTAGCCACAGGAAGTAAGACAATCAGAATCTCTTTAGGGATTATGGTTTTAAAGATTTATTAGACCATGACAGGTATCAATAATTCACTCTAAAAACATTTTGGGGACACCTGGGTGGCTCAGTCATTAAGCATCTGCCTTTGGCTCAGGTCATGATCCCAGGGTCCTGGGATCGAGCCCCACATCAGGCTCCTTGCTCAGTAGGAAGCCTGCTTCTCCCTCTGCCACTCTCCCTGCTTGTGTTCCCTCTCTCGCTGTCTCTCTCTCTGTGTGTCAAATAAATAAATAAAATCTTTTAAAAAAATTTTTTTGTAAATAATAATAAAATCTTTAAAAATAATAAAAATGAAAACAACATTTTGTTTCTGGAAATGCTGCTTGGAATTGAACAACCAATAGACAAATTATCATCTGCACTAACTTTACTTCTAAATTCTCAAAGGACCATCTTCAGCAAGAAAACAGACCGCAAGGATATTTATTTTTATATTGAGACTCTGCCTTCTTTACCTTGGATACCCTGAATACTTCCTTCTCTGAAGCACCTCAGACATACAGTCAATCGCACTCCAAAGGCTGAGTACTACACAGGCACACTCACTCTCTAATATCTCACTGTTAACTGTTTCCCTGGGTAACTTTAGAAATCGGCATTATATGGGGATGGGGGGATGGGTTAGCTCGGTGATGGGTATTAAGAAGGGCACGTATTGAATGGAGTACTAGGTGTTATACGCAAACAATGAATCATGGAACACTACAGTGGAATCTAAAAATCCAAACTCATAGAAATAGAGAGTATGATGGTGGTTGCCAGGGGGTGGAGATATGTTGGTCAAAGGGTACAAACTTCCAGTTATAAGATGAATAAATTCTGGGGATCTAATGTACAGCAAAGATGATTATAGTTAACACCACCGTAATATATATTTAAAAGTTGCTAAGAGAATAAATCTTAAATGTTATCACCACACACACACCCCCCCCACACACACACAAGGTAATTGTGTCAGGTGATGTGTTAGCTAACCTCATTGTAGTAATTATTCTACAGTATGTATGTATCAAGTCATCATCATATTGTATACCTACATGTTATATGTCAATTATATCTCAATAAAGCTGGACGGAAAAAAGAACAACAACAACAACAAAAAAAAACAGAACAGGGTGCCCGGGTGGCTCAGTTGGTTAAGCGACTGCCTTCGGCTCAGGTCATGATCCTGGAGTCCCAGGATCGAGTCCCACATCGGGCTCGGGAGTCTGCTTCTCCCTCTGACCCTCTTCCCTCTCGTGCTCTCTATCTCTCATTCTCTCTCTCTCAAATAAATAAATAAAATCTTTTAAAAAAAAAAGAACAAAAAAAACCCAAAACTAATGATGTAATGTATGGTGACTAACATAACACAATAAAATAAATTTAAAAAAAAAGAAATCGGCATTATTACTACAGTCATTTTTCATACATACAGCTATACACTAACAGGCATATGAAGCCCAAGAAATGTTCTCAATACTCAGACATTCCTATACCTCCATAAACAAGACAACTAAGCCTGCATAATCCTGCATATTCACACTGAAATTATTAAAAAGGTAATGTGAAAGTTGTGTGACCTGGTGAACACACGAAGTAGACGGGGTAAAGAAAAGGCTGAGGGAGAGTCAAAGACTACTAAAAGGGGACAAGAGTAAATGATAGCTCAGTGACCATAAGATAGCAACAGAAAATCTTAAAAGCCACCAGACAAGGTCAGAATACACAGAATCTTTAACTTTTAAAGTTGTTCAAGGTAGAACTTTTAAAAATTCCCCATTGCAAATAAGTACTAAGAGTTAAGCCATATGCATCATAGCCATTACCTTTATGCTTGGGTCTAGATTCATGAAGGAAGGAAGGCTTAAAGATTCACAGAACTGAACTCATCTATCTTTAGCATACTAAAATGCTTTTAAATGAAAGTTGGTGGTTCTGAACAAGATCTGAGTTATTCTGGGTCTTAGAGCTCCAACTTCACCTTGAACTACTGGGTAACATTTTCCTTTTGGTCCCCCGGTAAGCATCTTCCATCTGTTTCTCCAGTTCTCTTATTTTCCACATATCTGATTCCTCCTGAATCTAGATTTTTTAAAAGAAAAGAAATATAATTACTAAAAACAATATATCACAGAAAAGTAACTGACAATACACTCTGCACCAATTATTGTATTACAGACTGGGTCATAATCAGGAACCTGGGAAACAAATTCAGGATTCTCTAAATAATCTGACCCAGTCAATCTCAAATATGTAGAATTCTGCAGCAACAGGAGAACTTTTTAACCCTGCATAGACTCATTTATCCCCTTTTAATTTTGCAACTATGCTTCAGTGATCAAGTGATGACCCTCTATGTTTAAATTAGTCACCACATCCTTTGGATTCTATCTCCTCAATTCCTCATCTTCATCCCTACTGTCACTGTTTTCATGTGAACTCCTCATCGTCTCTCACTTGGAGCACTGCAATTGCCTAACTGGTGTTTCTACTGTTTCATTCCATCTGGTCTATCATCCCCTACCCAGCTAACAAATCATCTTTCTAAAATACAAATACAATCTTGTCACACCCTGCTTAAAAACATTTGATAGCTTCTTTACTGTTCAGAGGAAAAAGCCTAATCTCCAAGCATCACAATCCAATTCTAATTTACCACTTGAGCCTCATCTTCTGTCACTACCCACCTCCCCACAACATTCCCTACTTTCCAGATGCACACGCTTTCTTGCCACACCCCAAGTGCTTCATGCTCTTCTTTGTTGCCATATGAGTACATGATGTTCTGTCTGGAATGATCTTTTACACCTGGTAAATTTGAACCTGTTCACCAAAAACTAGTTCAAATACAGCAGCTCAAATACCACGCAATCTGTGAAGCCTTTCTTAATTTCCCAAGGCAGATTTCACTGTTCCTTCCGCAGTGCACTGAAGCACCTTGTATATGTCTCTACTATAGTACTTAATCAAATTGATTATAATTATCTATTTTATTCATCTTTGTACCTCCAAACTACCAAAATCATGCATGGCACACTGTATGCCTCCAATAAATGCTGAGGAATAACTACATTGTACCTCTCACCTTATTGTGAGCATCTGTGTGCCGGATGACATTCCTCAGGAGGACCTTCCCCAGTGGAACACGGGACATTCTTCAATCTGAAATGAATCAATAAATAACATTTAATAACAATAATTTCCTTTATTATCTTATATTTTATTACAGTGTTTTAAAGAAGCATGAAGTAAAGGAAAGATCACTGAACAAGAAGTCAGAGGTCCTGAGAGGTAGTTTTCCCTTCACCACTTAGAGGGGAAAATGCCTGACCACAGTAATGTGCAGATGAATGTACAGTGAGATAGTGGACATCCAAGTTCTTTCAAACTGCCCAGAATTAAGTGCCTTCAAGAGCACCATTTTATTTAACCCTCAAAACAACCCCATGTTTTATACGAGGCAAGCATCTTCATTCCTATTTTGTAGATGAAATTCCCTTAAGCATAACTTGCCCCAGGCCAGAGAGCCCAATGTAAACAAGATCCAGATTAGAAATCAACTTTCCAATCTCAAAATTAGTTTGTGATGAAGCAAATACCTAGATCTCACAATGTCAGGGACCACAAATACCAACATTTGACATCAAATGCAGACACGCCCTAAATTTCTCCTTTCAGGGGATTTTTACTTTCTATTTTGTACAGAAGCCTCCAAAAAACAGATGACAAGGATATTCGGTGTGTAGCTAGCAGCGGTTTTGCGCAACCACCCCACCGCTCACTCACCCCTCGATCCTGAGGAAATCAGGCATCTTGCTAGTGTGAGACGAAGAACCACTCCATTACAAGATCTCCTCCGACCCAGGAAGCCAAGGAGTCAGGGCTCAAAGGCAGCTCTGCAGCTTCACCCGAGTCCTTCGTGAAAATGCAGCCTTCCCACCGGTTATTCTGCCCTCACCCGTGGCCCAGGCCACGGCTGCCTTTCCCCCAGCCCACACCGACAGGAAGATCTCTTTCCGGACCGAGGCCGGAGGCTGCGCCGGCGCGGAATCCGGACAGCCGGCTTGACGGGCATGGGGGCATGCCCCGCTCACGCTCCTCTGGGACGGACCCGAGGACTGGGCTTCGCTCTCCCGAAAGGATGGGGACGCTCCGGACGGGTACAACCCTCGAACGGGCCCCAAGAAACACCCAGAGTGCCCGAAGGGGGGGGAGGGGGTTGAGGCTTCCAAGTGGAAGACAGAGAAAATACCCCCGTCTCTGTCACCGGGATCCCTGCCCCCCAGCGGCCACGGAGCTCCCGGTAACCTTCCCTCCAAACGCCCTCCCCGTACAAACACACACAAATACACCCATACCGTGCGCCGCAGCCTCGCGTGGCGGGGATTTGGGGGGAGGAATCGGTCTGGGAGACAAGGGAGCGGGCTTCCCTTTCAGGCCGGAAGTCGTGCTCCGGGGAAACTCTTCCCACCCACAGGAGACCCAGAGACTCCCACGGGGAGGGTTTCCAGCATCCTCTAGAGATCGAAAGGTGCGGAGGGGAGGCGGGCGCCTCCCTGGGAAAGAAGTGGGTCGGCCTCGGCCGAAAAGCAAGCCCGACACCAGAAGCGGGGAGATTCCGGAACTGGATGCTAAAAATCCTTTCTTCCTGGAGCTTTCCGGACCCAGTTAGATGTTGTACCCGGTCCGGTTACCCTAGTAACAGGCGTCGCGGTTTGTCAAGGAACCGAGAGAAGAGGTGGGTTCGCGGACCTCTGGGAAGATTGTCCTTTAGTTAAACTTCCCGTTTAGTTTAACCCTACTGTAGTATTCGGGGAACCCAAACCTCTTTTCCTCCTTCTGTGGCTGCTGTGGGACGCCTGTCCGGTGGGAGAGGAGAGCGAGGGAGGAGACACAGATGAGATATTAGTATTCTCCTGCTGCTTCCGAAGTGTCCTAGCCTCTCCATATGAGCATACTTAATTGTCACAATAACCCTACGAGATAGGTATTATCGTCTTCACTTTGAGAATAGACTGACACATAACTTCCTTGCTCAAGGTACCACACCTAGTACGTGATAAAGCTAAGATTGGGATCTAGGCACTCTGGCTCCAGAATCCTTGCTTTTAACTACTAAGCTGTGAGGAAGTCTCCTGTAGCTCTCTGGCAATTTCAGGACTGGACAGGCACCAGTCAGCCAATACCCAGGTATCGGAACAAGAGATCGGTCACCGGGTAACCGGTAACTGACTGCTCTACCCTCAGTGCTGTTGAGAGTCTAGGCAGAGGTGAGGACTTGTCTGAGGGGGACTAGATAATTAGAGAATAAGGTAAAGAAAAGTGGTGCTGAGCCACAGTCTTCTAGACACAGGGGCTAACTTCACCAGAACAACTCCTGACCTGTTTGTTGTTCCTCCTCCTCCAAAACAAGAAATGAACCATTAGTTACACAGAGCTTTTTCCCCCTGAAGTCCTATCTTTCCACAGACTCAAGAGGCCTGTTTACCTCAATCATGGAGTCTTCCTCAAAGGGTCTGCTCACTCAGGTTACTCAGTTCTGGAACCTCCTAGATGATCTGGCTGAAACTAATCCTGAGAGCTACGAGAAGTTCATTCAACAGCAGCTGAAAGAAGGGAAACAGCTCTGTGCCACCCCAGAGCCACAGCTCTGTCTACAAACCAGGATCCTGGTATGTAGTGTTGGTCCCCAGGGATGGGAGATCTTGAGCGAAAGAATCCTGGAATAATCAGAGAATCACTTACCTTTAGCTATTGCTACTTTAAGAAACCTTGAGGGGAAGCGCCACTCTAAAGGGAGAGTGAAACATAGTATGGAAGATTATGTTGAAGGAGTAAGAATGGGAAATTCACCTATGATATATTTTGGAGATCTCAAAGTCATTTTCTACTAGAATAAAAAAAAAAAGTAATGTAATGATTTAACAGAGACTTGTAGAATTGGAAGTCTTTCAAATGAAGAGAACTTACTTGGCTGGGAGGTAAGGAAGTGGTGAAATAGGGTCATATTCACCCTGAATAGCTGTTTAGATCGGTTCCCTCTCCTTCGTCCCAGTTCTTCTGGGAGCAACAACTGGATCTTGAAAAGTCAGCAGCTTGGGGGAAATGAGGTAACAGTACAATTTTCAAACACAGTTTAAATGCCTGGAATGGCTTACTTGGAGACTAAAATTCTCACTTCAAATTCTGTGGTGAGTTACCTTTAGGATATTATTTTTAAATGAAAAAAAACACTAGATTTTGAGATATGCAAAATTATTTGTTTTTTAGAAACCAAAGGAAAAAGTACTTTTTATTAACCTGTGTCAGTGGAAAAGGATCCCAGCTCCCCAGTCAACCACTCATCCAGTACCTCTAAGTGTTGGCAGACCAGAAGATATGTCTGAGACATCAGGTACATAGAATTAAGGGAGAGAAAGCACATTTTAAAAACTCTGTTGGGAATAAGCATGGACCAGATTTTACTTGGTAAAAGGCATTACAAGTAAAATATTTTATTGGGTTATAATGTAGTTAATAACTAATAAGCATACCTTTATTTATTTATATAAATTGAATGCTATTCAATTTTTCTAATAGTAACCCATATAAAATGCCAAGAAATGCCCTAATTGGAAATTTGTATATTTGGCACCATTGTGATTACCTCTGAAAAATACAGGAATAGAATTTTGCTTTCTAGCTTTATCCAGGATTATGACTTAATATATTATCTGACAGTATCATCAGTGGAACAAGTTGTCCTCATTTCACATCCTCTGAATTACACACACAGATGTTTATACAGTCATCGATGTTGCCTACAATCCTGATGTTCTCCAGGCAGCAGAAAAGGACCAAGTGAAAAAAGATCAGTTAATACGGATGACCATGAAATGCATTGAGGAACAATTCCAGTTCACTCTCTCATACTCTTACAGTATCACTAAATTTAGAATAAAAGGAAGCATTCAAAGGATGAAACAAAATCTGATAGGAATGCAAGCTGACCCCACAGATTTAAGAGAGAAAATGAGAAAGGGTAAGTTAATGACTGTAAATGGAAAATTTAACTGATTTAAAATTGTTTTGCATCCTGTGTACGTTTTGCAAACCAAAAGTCTCGGTTTTAGAAGATGAGAAACTTAAGATAGAAAAATATAAAGATTAGATATTAGAAATATTAACATGTCCTTAAAGATTTTTAAATCCTGCAAATTTTTTAACCAAGTCTTTGGTTTAAGTTTTTTTTTTTAAGATTTTATTTAAAAAAATTTTTTGTTTATTTGAAAGAGAGAGAGAGCATGGGGGGGGGATGGGAGGGGTGCAGAGAGAGAGAGAGAGAATCTCAAGCAGACCCCCCCCCCCAAGCACGGAGCCCAGCTCTGGGCTGGATCTCGCGATCCTAGGGTTATGACCTGAACTGAATTCAAGAGTCAGACGCTTAACCTGACTGAGCCACCCAGGTGCCCCAGGTTGAAGATTCGTTTTAGATTCCCAAACTAAATTAGCTTCAGCTTATCTGCCATTTTGGCTAATGCCACATATGTTACAGTTCATAGCCTGATAGTATTTTATGTTGTTGATTAATTTTGTGATTTCATCTCCCCCCCCTTTTTCCCATAAGAACTAACCCCTGAACAGATAAGTAGGACTGTGAGCAATTCAGATCACTTTCAGCTTTTATTGCCAAAAGGTGAAGTTTCAAGCAAAACAAGGTGTCTGATTGAGGAGATTTCCAGTACAGAGATCCAGGTAGAGATGAAGGAACCAGCCTATGAATTAAAAATTGTGGCTGACCAGAATGAGAAACCTCTGGAAATTGAAATAAAAGTTGAATTACCTGGTATTAATTCAGTATCTCTCTGTGATCTTAGTGTTTCTGAGGTAAGTTGAACAGGTAATACTATAAATTTGTATCAGTCAACATTTACCATATTATGCTGTAGTAACAAACTCCACAATCTCTGTGGTTTATAGCAATTTGCTCAGGTTGTATGTCAGGTAGGCCTGCTCTGTTCCAGGAGTCTTCCATATTTCAAGATACAGGTGAGATATGCCATTCTCATGAAAGAGGGAAAATAGAAATGGCCAAGCCATGCAATAGATCCTAAAACTTTCTCTCAGAGATCATATATATCACTATTACTCACATTCTGTTAGCCAAAGTTAAGGCACCAGGCCAAATCCTACATCAACGGGGCTGGGAAGAATATTCTCACAGGTAGTCACAGGAATTCAAATGGCAAGGATGTATAATCCTTATTATATTATACAAAAGAAGAGCAAAACATTGGCAAAGTCCTATAATCTACCACAGTCCAACTCTCAAGGACACAAATATTTGCTTCTTTCCCCAAGAAAGACATTTCCAATCCCAGTATCAGACTCTAAAATACAGGATTTTGCCATTGTAATCTGCACTTTCCTCTTGAACCACAGACCTATGAACTACAAAGACGAGTAGTCGACTGCCATAGCCACATGCACCGTACAATGTGGGATGGAGAGAGAATAACCATAATTAACAGTCTCAGTTTGGAAAGGGGGTTAAATATGAGGCACACAGCAGCTATTGGCACACAGCAATTCTGAAATCCTGGAAGGCAGATATTGTGAGGGTCCCTTTCCTGGAAGTAGAGGATGTTCTTGGTTAGGTCCCATTACAAGATTCCTTGATTACCTAGCCCCCTAGTTCCATTGTTTTCCATGACTTTCAGCTTCATTCTTTGGGTGATGTTTACCTTTTTCTTACCCACACTGGCCACGTCGGAAAAGAACATTGGAGAATAGGCCATCCTTACCTGCTGAGCAGTTTACTCACCCTGTTACACGCTTTTGGAATGTTGGGGATCCAAAAGTTATTTTAAATGTTTTAGTCTAGACTAGTAGCATTTTACTTCTTTGATTCTAATCAGTGCCACACCCCACGATTCTTTATTAGACATGTCCCTTTTTCAATGGCCTGTCTTTTTTTACTTAATTGCTGTCGTTTGAGCCAAATGTAAGGATTAACTGAGCTCCACCTTAATCCAGTTAGAGTAACAAAGAGTATAATGACTCTTTGTGATTCAATCTTCACTTCTAGGCTTAGTCTTTGTTGCTAAGAAGTAAATTCTCAATTTTATTTTTTACTGGTTTAAAATAAAAATTAGTTCCATTTCTCAGTCCTTAAGTCTTAGAATTTTGGGGCTTTGTATAGTCTTTCAATCCTACTTGCAAACTAGGAAATTCTTTTCTAAGCTCATCTCTTTTTGTTGTAGCTTATTAAATGTAGCCAATAGAAACAATGCGTGTTACCAACATTCTGTTTTCACACTTCTTTACCTAAAGCCACACATTAATGAGGTGCAGTTAGTTGTCTTTCACATTACTCTGCTGGTTTTACTAAGGGCTTTACCACTATAAAACATGGATCACCATTTTTCCTATTGCCAATACGTTTTCCTCGCTGTTTGCTGGTCAGCCAGAAAGTCAATGCCACATAGTCTAGGATGGCAACACCCAATTTATGGCACTGTATCAGTTAACTTTTGACGTATTGAGCAGCAGTAACAAAAAACCTCAGGGAGTTACAGCAGCAACTGCACAGTTCATTGCAAGTCACATGGCAGTAAGATCCTCCTCTTATGGGAAAGGAGTGAATAACTGTGAATAATCCAGTAACATATTTTAACCGGGAAATACTTTCTATTTTCATATTTTAAAATACTTTGGTTTGTTATTCTTAGGATGATTTATTGATTGAGGTCTCGGAGAAGTACAGATTACATCTGAATCTTCCAGAATCTGTGGATACTGAAATGACTACAGCCAGATTTATCAAAGAGAAAGCTACCTTAATCGTCACAATGCCATTGGTATAATAAGAGCATCATCTGCTTTGAGTTTTCAGTGATAAAGGCATGTGAATGATAGGACCTTCATTATGGGTGAAGAGGTAGTGGTTTACCTTAAACACTAGTATTTTCTAAGAGTTCTTTTTGATGGAATGAGATTTTCTCATCAACTTAATGTTTATCTTTTTTTTTAACTTTCTCCTCAAACTTGGCTAGAAGCATAAACCATTAAAAACAGTATTGCCATGATATACTTGTTTTGAAGCTATTTCTAATGGTCTTAAAGTAACAAACTGTCATTTGGGAAAATTCTGTTTCCAAGTAAATTGTGAAAATTCTTGGTTTACCGGTTTAAATTCTGGTTTACTTGGTTGTCTCTAGCAAATTTTTACATCAGGAATAAATCTCAAACTGTAAATTTTCTATTACCAAGAGGAACTGAAGCAGTGAAAGTTTCCTCCAGCTATAAAGTTACAGGGCCAATGTAGTAGTATGCAAACTTATGCTTCTATGAACCTCTGTACTTCTATAAAACAGTTCTGATGGGAGTCCAAGCTACCCGTCAGACCTTATAATATCAAATATAGACTTGTCTGTGGACTGGATACCATGATGCAGTAACACTAACAGGATGTTATTGTACAGAAGATGCAAAATAAATCTAACCCTAAGAAAAAGGATGTGACTTTGGGACAAGTGCCTTTATCCTATGAAAATAATTTTAAGACAGAAGGATATATTGGGGCACCTGGGTGGCTCAGGTCATGATCCTGGAGTCCTGGGATCGAGTCCACATCGGGCTCCCTCTGAACCTCCACCCTCTCATGCTCTCTCTTCCTCTCATTCTCTTTCCCAAATACATAAATAAAATCTTAAAAAAAAAAAAAAAGACAGAAGGATATATTAATCAACTTCATCTGTCAGATGGTTGTTCAATACAGAGGTATTAACTTTGATGTTTAAGCATCCTTAAATCATCTTTCCTAGATACAGTACAGCTTCATTATGTTTCTAGTTCAACGTAATGTTTTTAAAGTCCTTATTAATTTTAAAGCTTTTTAACTTACTTTAGAAACTAATATAGTATATAGAACAGAAGCAATTGGTATGTGATACTTAAAAACATAATTTTAAGCCTGGTCTGGATTTGAATTCTCCCAGCAATAGGATAATTTACCATCTGAAGATTTTCCAGAACTGTATAATGTCCTAAAGTTAACACCCCTATTATAGTCTCATCCCTCAAAAAAACTTGGAATGCTTTCACCTTACCTTCTTTTCTACAAAATCACCATCAATACTTGACCTACAAACTCTCATACCTAACCACATAGAACTGGTGGAATCTCTGCTCTGGCACTCTTGGCACTTGGGTGTTACTTTTGTCAGCAGCTATGTTTGTGTACTCATTAATAAAATGCATATCAAAATCTAGCATTTTTAAAATTTTAAATTTACATCCTTGTTATTTTCCAAAATATTTTACTTATTTCAATGGATTTTTATATTCATAGAAATTTCCCCTCCTCCTCCCTCTCCCCCAAAATACCAAACTTTGCCCAGGAAGAACATTAATAACTGTGGAGTAGTTTAATCTGAATCTTACCAAAATTTCTTTCCTTGAAACTGGAAAGTGAGATGGATATTAATTATCTTTGAGACTAGATTTTTCTATAAGCTTGGTTTATTTTTTTTAAGATTTGAGAGAGTGTCTGTGTGAGCAGGGGGAGAGGCAGGGGGAGACGGAGAAGCAGGGACCCCCAGTGCAGGGCTCAATCTCACCACTTGGAGATCATGACCTGAGCCGAAACCAAGAGTCAGACACTCAACCGACTGAGCCTCCCAGGTGCCCCTACAAACTTGGGTGATTATTTTCCCATGTATTCCAGGGTTTGTGCATTACTAGGTAAGGAGTACTCCTTGGAACACATTCATATGATCTCAGGCTAGTTAACTCCTTTTTCAGACCATGCCTTGGGATACCATAACTTCACTCACAAACCTCGGGATTGGTGTAAAATATCTAACACAGCCAGATTACGCTTTCATCTTGCTGTGTGGCACACTCCACCATGAGGTGCTTCAGTAACTCCTTGAGCTTAAAGTGTTAGATTATATCCTCCTAAACTCAGTCCTTTATTTTACTAATTCTACATGCTTCAAATGCATTTGTATTAAAGAGTGTACACGTATATAGCTATCTCTGGCTTTGGTTTAATGTGAAAAATAATTACCAACAGATTAAAAATTAGACAAGACACACCGAAAACAGTTTAATTTTTAAATAATTTCAACCAAAATTTTTAACTTTTTTTCTTTCAGTTCTGGTAAGAGAAATAGACTGAATCCATTTAGGTTTATAATTCAGATTATACTTCAGATTAATTTTTAACTCAAAATAATTTTTATTAGAAGACAACCTTTTACTATTCTTTCAAGGGAACAACAGACAGAGCCATAAGCATTTGCCAAGAATGAATTATCTCTGACGTTTCGTGTATCTGAACCAGATGTGGCTCATAGTGATGGTCCCTTGTGATAAGCTTGTTCCTTCTTCATAATCTTCAATTCAAGCTAACATTACTAATTACTGAAAAATCAATTTAATGTACTGTTTTCATAATACAGCAAGGGAAAATATTCTGGAATATATGCAGTGTCACTTCTGCACCATGTAATAAAGAACATTTAGAAACAGATTCAACACTGAAAGACCTAAATTTCAGGAGACTGCTCCACATATATACACAGAAACACTGGATAGATTTATTTTAAATAGTCATAAACAATTCCAAATAATTTATTAAAACACATCAATAGAAAGTCTGGAATTGTGACAATATTCCAAATTCATTTTTATTATCCCGAGTATCACCTCTTCTACTCCCCCTCCCCTAAGAAAGGCAAACTGTAACAAACTGGAAAAAAATATTTAGGCTGGTAAGGCAGCAAGCAACCTAAACTATTTTTTTTCTTTCCAATAGGATTTTAGGACTTTCTTATTGTACATGAGACAACATCGGGTGGAAAAACACAGAACACTTTCTTTGTACACACTGAACATTTTTTACTTTATCCAAGTAGAAATGACCACTTCGCTTCTAATCTTTTAGCACTCCCAACTGCTTACCAATGTCCCTCTCCCCCTTTTCCTTTCAGACAGGATTTGGTGATAAATGGACTTTGGCACACATCTCACTAGAAACCGTATTTTACATATGTACACTTATTCCACAGTTACTTGATACAGTTTTCCAAAGTTATATGAGTAACAGATTCTGATAATTAAGTTCATTTGCAAATAACCACCAATTAATCTTCAAGGAATAATTTCTACTTTCTGTTAAATTCTACAAGCATATTCTTTTATTTGGAGGTAATTTTAAATTCTGCTCTCAAAATTATGTATGTAAGTTGTTTAAATAAATACCCACACAAATTCTCATTTATACCAAGTAGCTGGTTTATATATATCTTCATCTCAAGAGGTAAAAACAACCATTTCAGGATTCATAGAAAAATAAAGGACAGCTGGTTGAAGAAGTCTAAGAAAAAGTTAACTTTTAAAATTTCAGTTATTTTCCTTGAAGTTCTCTACCCTTCCCATCCATGATAAACCAAGATCATGTCACAGAAAAATTTAAATTAGGGTTAAATTCCAAAATCAAGCTTCAATTCAAACCCTTTCTCTAAGAGAACGGACTTTTCTCTTTCCGTGACTTCTCTTTCCCTCAAATATGAGCAAAACATTTGAGGCAATTAAATTTCAAAACCTCAAGGTTTCATTCAGATTACCTTTATATATCTGTTTCAATAGGGAACCAGAATTCTACCTCTGCATTTCCCAGTGGAAGTACTTATCACCAAAGGGCCAAGCCACACGTTCCCTTGACTAGGAATACACAGCTCAAAATCTGGTGTTCATTAAATGTGTACAATATGTGGGTGTAATTGTCATTTGAAAAATTCAGTGATGCCCATTACAAATAACTTATCTGGACAGACTCAAAAATAACTGGTTAACTTTAAAATAAAAAAAAACCTGTGTAATAACATATTTATATCTTGGTAAGAATGAACATTGTGACCTGGGAGAGTCTAGAAATTCCTGGGTTAATTATAACAACATGGTGATAGGTTTTTCAAGGTACTTTCTAAATTCAGCAAGCCACTGGGCTCCAACTGCTCCATCCACAACCCGATGATCACAACTGAGTGTAACAGACATCATGCTAGCCACATCAAATCTAGAAAAAGATAAAAACATTATTAGGTATTCTGAAAGCAATCCCTAGTTTTTAGCCAGTAACCAACTCAAATGCCAATCTCCAACCAGGTAATACTATTTTCCACCTACTCTTAACGTACTAACGTACTATACACCTCTGCCTCACCCTCTAGATTGACAGACCAAACAGCCATCTGGAGCATGGGCTGGCAAACTACAGCCCACGGGCCAAATCCTGCCAAATGCAGGTTTTCTGGAATTCATTTATGTATTGCCTATGTCTGCTTTCTCACTACAACGTCAGAGTATCTGCAACAGACACCATGACTCAGAAAGCCTAAAATATTTACAACCTGGCTCCAAGGAAAAGTATGCTCACCCCTCACCTATAGTAAATAAGGCTTCCCCTTTCAAATAGGATTAACTGCATTTAGTAAAAGAAGAGTTGCTGCCCTGAGAAACTTCATTCTATACTTACGCCTGATTCTACCTGAAGCTCCAATAGGCCATGACAATTATAAAACTTAGACTCAAACACAGGTATAATGTAAAAAGAAACAAAAACGCACCACAACAACCACCAAAAAACAAACAGGTATTATGTAATGAAAATGAACTTACAACTCCTTTATTTTGGTACTTACCCTTTTTCATTATCTGCTGGAACCAGTCTATCCTCTGAAGCACCAATTGCCAAAATACATGCTTGAGGTGGGTTAATAATAGCAGAGAAGTTCTTAATTCCAAACATTCCTAAATTGGAGATTGTGAAAGTGCCACCCTAGAGGAAAAGAGATTAAAAACAGATCATGTTAATTGCTTGTCAACATAAGCCAGAAAAAAAAGACAAATGTTCTGTGGAAAGACCTTAAGATAATCTTTAAGAAAGGCCTCTGAACTACCATAAAAAACAATTAGAAAAGGAAAGGAAAGGAAAACAGCATGAGGTGACAGATGTGACTTAGCTTAACTATGATCATCTCACAATGTATCTCACAATACATAGAGCAAAACATCAAAGCTATATATCCTGAATATATACAATTCTTATTTGAAAGGGGAAAAAAAAGGCAGGCCTTAATGGAATACACTTTAATGAAAATATATAATATATATAATAATATAATATATAATAAAATATATAACCATTACAGTATGAACGTAAGTCATAAGTTTTGCAAACTGCTGGAAAATGTCTTTTCAGATTTTGATAGGGTATTCACTTTCTCTATATTTTCAGGGACATGTGTAAGAATATAAGGCAGAATCAAAGGTGAAAAATGCAATAAAAGCATTATGCCACCCTTTTTTTTTTAAAGATTTTATTTATTAAGAAAGAGAGAGCACGAGTAGTGAAGAGGGGCAGAGGGAGAGGGAGAAGCAGACTCCCCGCTGAGCAGGGAGCCCAATGTAGGGCTCTATCCCAGGACCCCAGGATCATGACCTGAGCCCAAGACACTCAACCGACTGAGCCACCCAGGTACCCAGAATTATGCCACCCTTAAATATAATATAATTCTTAACATTCAGAAGGGAAATAAATAATACCTTACCTGGAACTCATGAGGCTGTAGTTTACCCTCTCGTGCTTTGGTTGCTAAAGAAACAACATCATTAGCAATGGCTTCCAGTCCTTTTATATGTGCATTAAATACAATAGGTGTAATGAGCCCTGCAGGAGTACTGACTGCAACACTGATATCCACAACATGGTTTCTATTTCAAAAGAAAAAAAAGGAAATTTCAGTAATCATCACAGTATTTATCAAGAGCTTATGTGTCAGGTTAAGCAAGAATATTGACATTTACCTCAGTTTGGGATACTTTTCAGCCAGAGGGATATCTTTCCTGGTTTTCACATTTTGCTATGCCCTCTTAACTTGGACTTTTTTTTTAAGATTATTTATTTATTTATTTGACAGAGAGAGACACAGTGAGAGAGTGAGCACAAGAAGGGGGAGTGGGAGAGGGAGAAGCAGGCTTCCCGCGGAGCAGGGAGCCCGATGTGGGACTCGATCCCAGGACCCTGGGATCATGACCTGAGCCGAAGGCAGATGCTTAACGACTGAGCCACCCAGGTGCCCCTTAACTTGGACTTTTTAAAAATGAACAAGAAATGTGTCAGTAGGTTGGTTTCACATGTGCTCTAACTGCCTTGCACCTACCTTGACTGACACATGGGTACATGTGGAAAAGGCCCAGCATTCAGTGAGAATTACACAAAAAGAACTTCTTGAATTTTGAGATGAAGTGGACTGCGAGAAGCGGAGTCTGCAGGCAGAGTTTGAGCAGATGGAAGGAAGAGTGGAGGGAGAGGACTGTGTTGTGGGAGAAAAAGAGCTCAGGGTGTAGGGTGGTAGTGTCTCAGAAGATAAAAGGAGGATTCCTAATCTGTGTTATGCCACGGATACCTTTGCATCTGGGTCCCTTCTCAGAATACGTATTTTTAACACAAAACATAAAATATTCAATAACCAAAAACAAAACAGATACAACTAAATAAAAAAACAACTATACCGAAATTCAAAATTGTGATATATGTATTAACTCAGTAACAAGATCTGGCAAGAGGTCTAATAACTGCTAAAATTTTGACATAGTGATAAGCAAAAAAAACCCCTATTTAAAAGACACATGCAACAACTACAATCTGATATGAAAATAAGTGATTTTTACTGGTCACCAGTACAAGTACTGTTAATAATACCTCTTTGATTTGTCCTCTACATTTATAGTAGGAGGAAATGCCAAATTTCAGTTAGAGGTTAGTGGAAAGGAATGATTTTTCCCCCTCATCCAAGTTCCCAAATTCTTAAATTGTATCCACAGCCTCCCTGGGCTTTGTGTTAGGGCCCCTGCCGAAGTGTTCTCTACAAATGAGAAAAAATTAAAACCTCACATGAAGGAAGAACTCCAGCTACTTCTAGGCTCAAGCTTTAGAATATTATGGGTTCCAAATCCCTCCCTCAGTGTGCCCAAGCTGACCAGGGGCAGTGGGACTGTCACTTGCAAACACAAGTACCTGGTTGAATAATAATGTGTGACCCCTTAAGCAGCTACCACAGCTGGGCTATGGCGAAGGTATCACAGCAAATACTGCTTTCTTTCTCTTAAAGATTTTTATTTATTTGTCACATGGAAGGAGCGCACAAGCAGCGGGAACAGCAGGCAGAGGGAGAAGCAGGCTTCCCATTGAGCAGGGAGCCCCATGTGTTTCCTATTGAGCAGGGATCCTGGCACCCTGGGATCACGACCTGAGCCCAAGGCAGCCGCTTAACTGACTGAGCCACCCAGGCGCCCCCAATACTGCTTTCTTCTAATTGTCCTGTCACTCCAAAATCTTCCTCCTAACAGAGTAAGCATGGTGTTTCTTATCTTGCTCACCACTAAATATAGCAGACAGTACCTGTTCAATATTTGCTGAATGGCTATATAAACAAATGAATGACGGGCATTTGGTAGGAACTAATGAACAATTCACAGAACTTGGCCTGTAACCTTAATCTGCTCATCAAAGAAGTGTTTTCTCAGATACTCTTAGAAGGTTAAATATTAATTTACCCTATGACCCAGTAATTCTACTTCAACCCAAGAAAAATAAAAACATAAGTCAACACAGAACATTGTACACAGATGTTCGTAACAGCTCTCTAAAAGATAGTTCTTTGTCTTAATCCCAGAATCTATCAATGTGACCTTATTTAATAAAAAGATCTTTGCAGGGGCACCTGGGTGGCTCAGCGGGTTAAGCATCTGCCTTCGGCTCAGGTCATGATCCCAGGGTCCTGGGATCAAGCCCCACATTGGGCTCCCTGCTCAGCGGGGAGCCTGCTTCTTTCTCTCCCGCTCCCCTTGCTTGTGCGCTCTGTCAAATTTAAAAAAAAAAAAATCTTTACAGGTTAATCAGGATTTTGAGATGAAATCATCCTAGGTTATCTGGGTGGGCTCTAAATCCAATGCCAAGTGTACTTGTAAGAGACAGAAGAGAAGAAGGCCATGTGAGTTTGGAGTTATGTAGCCACAAGCCAACGAATGCCTGGAGCCATCAAAACTGGAAAAAGCAAGGGAAGATTCTCCCCTAGAGCCTATGGAGGCTGTGCAGCCTTGCTAACACCTTGCTTTTGGACTTCAGGCCTTCAGAACTAAGAATAAATTTTTGTCTTAAGCCACCAATTTTGTGGTAATTTATACAGAAGCCCTAGGAAACTAATATAGTCTATAGGAATAGTAAGACCTTCAAATGTTCTCCAAGAGGGTGGTGACCAAGGAAAAAATTAGAATAAGCAGGTTACCTATTATGTTTGATAAGACTGGAAAATGGTTTAGAGTTCTCTAGGAAACTTTCAGAAAGAATTGATGATGAGTACACAGGCCCTCCTTAGGTAACCATTAAGATCAGTTTGGCCAGTATTCACAGCATACTACATGTCTTAGTTATAAATAATATTTTCATAGGCATAAAAATATTAATACTGAATATTGATTTATCCACAATTTGTGCTATAATCGATTTGGTAGGATTGTCGTGTGTGTGTGTATGGAGGGTACAACAAATCAGTTGATAAAATGAAAAATCCATAAAGGGCAAGTGAAAAATGTTATTTAGAAATACGAAGACAGGGGCGCCTGGGTGGCGCAGTTAGTTAGGCATCCGACTCTTGATTTTGGCTGAGGTCATGATGTCAGGGCTGGGAGCTCGAGCCCTGCACCGGGACCCACACTGAGCATGAGCATGGAGCCTGTGTGAGATCCTCCTCCTCTCCCTCTTGCTCTGCCCTCCCTGCTTGTGCTGTCTCTTTAAAAATAAAATAAAATGAAATAAAATCTTTTTTTTTTTAAAGATTTTGTTTATTTATTTGACAGAGAGACACAGCGAGAGACGGAACACAAGCAGGGGGAGTGGGAGAGGGAGAAGCAGGCTTCCCGCCGAGCAGGGAGCCCAATGCGGTGCTCGATCCCAGGACCCTGGGAATCATGACCTGAGCCGAAGGCAGACGCTTAACGACTGAGCCACCCAGACGCTCCTAAAATCTTTTTTTTAAAAGATTTTATTTATTTGTTAGAGAGAGAGAGCACAGTAGGGGGAGTGCCAGGAAGAGGGAGAAGCAGGCTCCCCACTGAGCAAGGACCCTGGGATCATGACCTGAGCCAAAGGCAGACGCTTAACCGACTGAGCCACCCAGGTGCCCCAAAATGAAATAAAATCTTAAAAAAAAAAAAAAAAATTGTATTTGCCTCTTAGAAGTAAGACCTAAGTCACCATAAGCCATGAAGCAATATTCTAATGTATATGCTATTATTTTAATAGAAATTAAATTAATAATAATACTAAAAAATCTACATAGTAGAACAAGCCTCGGTGCAGGAGTCAGAATTGCTACTCACTAACATATTAATTCAGGAAAGCTAGTTAACTCCTTGAATCCTCAGTTTCTTCATCTGTAAAATGGGAGTGAAAGCCCCTAGTTCATGAGGTGGCCATAAGGATTAAAATGAGAAAACATGTGAAAGACACTGAGCACCATGCCAGTCACATGCCACCATAATGTTAACAAATGTTTCTTGGTTTTGTTTTCAATTTGCCCCCATTAAAGTTCAGCAGAACTAATTGGTGAACAAAAACCATTTCAACCCTGCTTTGTAACAGTTGTTACCAAGTTATTCACATCTGTAAACTTATCTCCCTCTTCTAAACTCAAAGAATTTGTAGTCTTCACTAACTAAACTTAGCATTATCTCATAAACAGTTTTACATTGTCTTCAAACTGTTTTGCCTACAGAAGTCCACTTCCTGTACTCCATTTCTCCTCATACCCGACACTCCTACTTATACATAAGACAGCACGAGAAAACTGCTGATGGATATATACTTTCCCCAGCAGTATCTTACTTACTGTCTTATAACGGTGTCCAGCCAAGAAGAATTTGCTTCAGGAACTTTTAAACATGCCAAAGCTGAAGCTTTTATGATAAAGTCATTGACAGAAATTTTGCTTCTCCCTTCTAACATCTGCAAAGACAAGAAATCATTGTAGTTTCTTAAACTCTCTTCCCAAAGACTGAAAGTTGTCATCTGGCGGGGGGTGGTGGGGGAAGAATACCAATGTCCTGAGGCGTAAAGGATGAAATGAAACTAAAAGTTGGTTCTTTCATCTTTTTTAATGTAGGCCTTTTCAGCTATAAGCTTCCTAGTAAGCCCTCCTTTAGCTGCATCCCTTAAGTTACGGTATGTTATGCCTTCATTTTCACTTATCTGAACAAAACCAAAAGTTGGTTCTTTGAAAGGATCAACAAAATGATAAATGTTTAGCTAGACTGACAAAGAAAAAAGAAGACTCAAATTCCTAAAATCAGAAATGAAGTAGAACATTACTATGGACCCTACTGAAATAAAAAGGTTTGTAGGTAATGCTATGAACTGTATCCCACAAATTAGATAATTTAGATGAAATGGAAGATTCCTAGAAAGATATGAACTGCCAAAACTGAATCAAAAAGGAATAGAACCCCTGAATCAATCTACAACTAGTAATAAAGAGACTGAATGGTAATTTAAAAACTAACCACACAGAACAGCCTAGACCCAGATGGCTTCCCCAAATGGTGAATTCTACTAAACATTTAAAGAATATAAATTCTTCACAAAATCTTCCAAAAAATAGAAGAGGAAACACTTCCCCACTCATTCTATGAGGTCAGTATTAACCCAATACTAAAGCCAGACCAAGATATCACAATTAAAAAACAAAACAAAACAAAAAAAAAACCAGCCCAGAAAGAACAAAACTACAAATACCTCTTTAAGAATAGAGATCCAAAATCCTCAAAAAAATTCTAGCAAACCAAATCCAGCAATATATGAAAAGGATTATTCACCCATGACCAAATGGAATTTGTTCCAGGAATGCAAAGTTGGTTTAACATCTGAAAGTCAATTAATGTAATAAAATACTAATAGAAAAAAGACAGAAATCACATGACCATCTCAAGAGACACAGAAAAAGCATTTGACAAAATTCAACCACCACTTCATAAAAACTAGGAATAGAAAGGAAATTCCTGAACCTGATGATAAAACAGATCTACAAAAGTTCCACAACCATCATCATATACTTCACTGGTGCAAGACTTACTTCGTCTTAAGATCAAGAACAAGACAAGGATGTCCACTTTGCCACTTCTAATCAACATTTTACTAGATGTGCTAGCCAGAGAAGTTGGGCAAGAAAAGAAAATAAAAGGCATCCAAATTGGAAAAGAAAAAGCAAAATTATCACTATTTGGAGATGACATGATTTTGTATATATAAAATCTTAAGGAACACACTAAATAAAAAATAAGGTTGTAGGATACAAGATTAATATACAAAAATCAATGCTATTTCTATACAGTAACAATGAACCCTCTGAAATTTATAAGTGTTAAAAGAACAAAATACCTAGGAATAAATTTTTTTTTTTTTTTAATTCATGAGAGAAAGAGAGACAGAGAGAGAGGCAGAGGGAGAAGCAGGCTCCCAAGGAGCAGGGAGCCCGATGTGGGGCTCGATCCCAGTCCCCTGGGATCATGACCTGAGCCGAAGGCAGATGCTTAACGACTGAGCCACCCAGGCGCCCCCTGGGAATAAATTTAACAAAAGAAGTACAAAAGCTTATACTCAAAAAACTGGACAAATTACTGAAAGAATTTAGAGAAGATTAATTAAAGTCCTAAATAAATGGAAAGACACCCCACATTCATGGAGGAGGAATGCTAAGAAGGCAATATTCCCCAAATTGATCTACAGATTCAATGATATCCCTATCCCTATAGGAAATATCAAAAATAGGCAAATCTAAGACAGAAAGACGGTAAGTGACTGTCTAGGGTTGGGGAGGCTGGGAGGATTGGGGTGGGGGCTATGGCTAATGGGAGAATACTTTCATTTCAGGATGATGAAAATGTTCCAAAATTCATTGTGGTGATGGTCACAGAACTCTGAATATCCTCGAAGTCACCAAATCGTAAACTTTAAATGGGTACATGGTATGTGAAATATATCTACATAAAACTGTTTAAATGAATAAAATAATACACTGGACATACATTTTTCATGTCTAATTTTCAAATAAATGTATTATAAAACAGCTGTAACATTTTGCCAATAAAAGCATGCAATCATCTCTAACTCTTGTAGCCAGTTACCTGTTAATCCTTAACTGCTTTATTCATTCATGCATCTAAGATTTGAGTACTCTGTTCTAGACATAGAATTCTAAGAGCCCTGGATATAAGCAGTGAAAAAATGGGTAAAAATTCTACTCATAGGGACCTTACATTCTAAAAGAGTGGATAATAAATAAATGAAACATACGGTATGTAAGATAATGATAAAGAGACAAATAAGGAAGAACTAAAGGGAAAACTGACCACTCACCTCACTCGTCTACCCTTAATTTTAGAGTAAGGTGACTAGGGAAAACCAGAGAAGGTGATATTGAATCAAATCCTAAAGGCACTAAAGGAGGAAGGCAAGTGGATGCTAGAGGAAAAACATTTCATGCAGGGTGAACACCAAGTGCCAAGGGACTCAAGTAGGAAGATACAGGTGGAATGTTGAGGAACAGGAAGACAATCATTGGTTTTGCAGCAGAGTGAGCAAGTGGAAAAGTAGAGGTCAGAGAGGTTGTAGATAACCTGTATAATGCTGAGTGCCACTGGCCCAGCCCTCTCTCCCTCTCTTTAAAAAAGTAAAATAAAGGGGGAGAGGAAAGATGGCGGAGGAGTAGGGGACTCTATTCCAACTGGTCCCCGGAACTGAGCTGGATATCTACCAGACCACTCTGAGCACCCACGAAATCAGCCTGAGACGTAAGAAGATCTGGATCTCTACAGACTATCGCAGGCGGTTGGTTTCAAGGTAGGAAGCGGGGAGCCGTGATTCCATGGGCAGATATCGGAGGATAAACGGCAGCGGGAGGGTGCCTGGCCGTGGGGATCCTACACCGCCGGTGAGTAACAGCCTCGCGTGCTGGGGATGGGGCACAGACCGGCAGCAGCGGGGAAAGGACTTTAGGGCAGCCCCCGGGGCAGAAACCCAGAGCGGCGGGGTTGGGCTTGCAAACTGGGGAACAGGGGAACTGGGAGCGGCTGGCGGTTTTAGAAGCACAGAGGGCAGAGACGTGCTCCGACCTGGAGGCAGGACTGGGAGCGCTGCGGAGGGGCGCACAACCCAGGACACTGCAGTTTAGAGCAGCACGGACAGAAACGGAGACGGTGTGGCCTGGAGAGCTCACTGAAGAACAGACTGCGGTCTCTCTGCTCTGAGGCAGAGGGTTGGAAACGACTCTTCTGCTCTGACTCGCGGAAGAGACATGGAAAGCTGTCAGGGAAAGCCACCAGGGAACAAAAGCCCCCCACACTGATTCCCACTGAGCCCATCCCCCGCCACAGGGGGGCAGGGCAACTCCACCCAAACAGGGTTGCCTGAGCAACAGCGCGGCAGGCCCCTCCCCCAGAAGACAGGCTGGGAAAACAAGAGGCCAGCAACCCTAAGGTCCCTAGAAAACAGGTGCATCTTGCTTGGGTTCTGGTCAATAATTTGGCCTCTATACATTCCCTCAACCACCCATCAACAGAATGACTAGGAGGAGGAACCCCCAAAATAAAAGACTCAGAGATTATGACTTATGCCACAGATTTACAAATGGATGCAGATATAACCAAGATGTCAGAGATGGAATTCAGGCTAGCAATTGTGAAGACAATAGCTAGAATGGAGAAATCAATTAATGGCAACATAGAGTCTCTAAGGGCAGAAATGAAAGCTGAATTGGCAGAACTTAAAAATGCTATCAATGAGATCCAATCCAATCTAGATAATCTAACAGCTAAGGTGAGGCAGAAGAACGAATAAGTGACCTGGAAGACAATATAATAGATAAAAAGGGAAAAGAGGAGGCCAGGGAAAAACAACTCAGAATCCATGAAAATAGAATCAGAGAAATAAGTGACACCATGAAGTGTTCCAATGTCAGAATAATTGGAATCCCAGAGCGAGTGGCGAGGGAGAGAGGACTAGAAGATGTATTTGAGCAAATCATCGCTGAGAACTTCCCTAATCCAGGGAATGAAACAAACGTTCGCGTCCTAGAGGCAGAGAGGACCCCTCCCAAGATCAAGGAAAACAGACCAACACCCTGGCATATAATAGTAAAACTTGCAAATCTTACAACCAAGGAAACCTTGAGGGTAGTTAGGGGGAAGAGATTCTTTACGTACAGAGGGAGAAACATCAGAATAATGTCAGACCTATACACAGAGCCCTGGCAAGCCAGAAAGGCCTGCCAAGACATATTCAGGGTACTAAATGGGAAGAACATGCAGCCAAGAATACTTTATCCGGCAAGGCTGTCATTTAAAATGGATGGAGAGATGCAGAGCTTCCACGACTGGCAGAAACTGAAAGAATATGTGACCACTAAACCGGCCCTGCAAAAAATACTAAGGGGGGTTCTACAAAAGGAGGACGACCCCAAGAGTCATATACAACAGAAATTTACAGGGACAATCTATAAAAACAATGTCTTCACAGGCAACATGATGACAATTCATATCTTTCAATAATCACTCTCAACGTGAATGGCCTAAATGCTCCCATAAAACGGCACAGGGTTGCAGATTGGATAAAAAGACAGGACCCATCCATATGCTGCCTACAAGAGACTCATTTTGAACCTAAAGATACATCCAGACTGAAGGTGAAGGGATGGAGATCAATCTTCCATGCCAGCGGACCTCAAAAGAAAGCTGGGGTAGCAATTCTTATATCAGACAAATTAGATTTTAAACTAAAGTCTGTAATTAGAGACACAGAAGGACACTATATCATTCTTAAAGGGTCTATCCAACAAGAAGATCTAACAACTGTAAATATCTATGCCCCCAACATGGGAGCAACTATCTACATAAGCCACTGTTAACCAAAATAAAGAGTCATATTGATAACAATACATTAATTGTAGGAGACCTCAGTACTCCACTCTCAGCAAGGGACAGATCATCTAAGCAGAAAATCAACAAAGAAACAAGAGCTTTGAATGATACATTGGAGCAGATGGACCTCATAGATATATACTAGATATATACAGAATATTCCACCCTAAAACAACAGAACAGTCATTCTTCTCGAGCGCAGGTGGACCTTTCTCCAGAATAGACCACATACTGGGTCACAAATCAGGTCTCAACCGATACCAAAAGATTGAGATTATTTCCTGCATATTCTCAGACCACAATTCTTTAAAACTGGAACTCAATCACAAGAAAAAATTTGGCAGAAATTCAAACACTTGGAAGCTAAAGACCACTCTGCTCAAGAATGTTTGGGTTGGGTGCCGGGGTGGCTCAGTTGGTTAAGCAACTGCCTTCGGCTCAGGGCATGATCCTGGAGTCCTGGGATGGAGTCCCATATCGGGCTCCCTGCTCAGCAGGGAGTCTGCTTCTCCCTCTGACCCTCCTCCCTCTCATGCTCTCTCTCACAAATAAATAAAATCTTAAAATAAAAAAAAAAAGAATGTTTGGGTCAACCAGGAAATCAAAGAACTTAAACAGTTCATGGAAATCAATGAGAACGAAAACATATCAGTCCAAAACCTATGGGATACTGCAAAGGCAGTCCTAAGGGGGAAATACATAGCCATCCAAGCCTCACTCAAAAAAATAGAAAAATCCCAAATTCACCAACTCTACATCTTAAAGAACTAGAGAAAAAGCAACAAACGATGCCTAAGCCACACATTAGAAGAGAAATAATTAAAATTAAGAGCAGAGATCAATGAATTAGAAACCAGAAACACAGTAGATCAGATCAACGAAACTAGAAGTTGGTTCTCTGAAAGAATTAATAAGATGGATAAACCACTGGCCAGACTTACCCAAAAGAAAAAAGACCCAAATTAATAAAATTATGAATGAAAGGGGAGAGATCACGACTAAATAGAAACAATTATTAGCAATTATCAACAACTATATGCCAATAAACTGAGCAAAGGGGATGAAATGGAGGCCTTCCTGGAAACCTATAAGCTGCCAAGACTGAACAGGAAGAAATTGACGACCTGAATAGGCCAATAACCAGTGACGAGATTGAAGCGGTGATCAAAAACCTCCCAAAACACAAGAGTCTAGGGCCTGATGGATTCCCTGGGGAATTCTACCAAACATTCAAAGAAGAAATAATACCTATTCTTCTGAAGCTGTTTCAAAATACAGAAACAGAAGGAAAATTTCCAAACTCATTCTATGAGGTCAGCATTACCTTAATCCCCAAACCAGGCAAAGACTCCATCAAAAAGGAGAATTTCAGACCGATATCCCTGACGAATATGGATTCCAAAATCCTCAACAAAATCCTAGCTAATACGATCCAACAATACATTAAAAGGATCATCCACCACGACCAAGTAGGATTTATCCCCGGGATGCAAGGGTGGTTCAACATTCGCAAATCAATCACTGTGATAGAACACATTAATAAGAGGAGGGAGAAGAACCATATGGTCCTCTCAACTGATGCAGAAAAAGCATTTGACAAAATACAACATCCTTTCCTGATTAAAACTCTTCAGAGTATAGGGATAGAAGGAACATTCCTCAAGTTCATAAAATCCATCTATGAAAAACCCACAGCAAATATCATCCTCAATGGGGAAAAGCTGAAAGCCTTTCCCTTAAGATTGGGAACACGTCAAGGATGCCCACTCTTGCCACTATTGTTCAACATAGTACTAGAAGTCCTAGCAACAGCAATCACACAACAAAAAGAAAAAAAAGGTATTCAAATTGGCAAAGAAGAAGTCAAACTCCCTCTTTTTGCAGACATAATATTTCATGTGGAAAACCCAAAAGACTCCACCCCCAAATTACTAGAACTCATACAGCAATTCAGTAATGTGGCAGGATACAAAAATCAGTGCACAGAAATCAGTGGCTTTCTTATACACTAACAACGCAACTATAGAAAGAGAAATTAGAGAAACAACTCCATTTACAATAGCACCAAAAACCGTAAGATACCTCGGAATAAACCTAACCAAAGAGATAAAGGACCTATACTCTAGGAACTACAGAACACTCATGAAAGAAACTGAAGAAGACACAAAAAGATGGAAAAATATTCCATGTTCATGGATTGGAAGAATAAACATTGTTAAAATGTCTATGCTACCCAGAGCAATCTATACCTTCAATGCCATCCCGATCAAAAGCCCAATGACATTTTTCAAAGTGCTGGAACAAACAATCCTAAAATTTGTATGGAATCAGAAAAGACCCCGAATCGCCAAGGAAATGTTGAAAAAGAAAAACAAAGCTGGGGGCATCACGTTGCCCAATTTCAAGCTATATTACAAAGCTGTGATCACCAAGACAGCATAGTACTGGCACAAAAACAGACATATAGACCAATGGAACAGAATAGAGAACCCAGATATGGACCCTCAACTCTATGGTCAAATAATCTTTGACAAAGCAGGAAAAAACATGCAATGGAAAAAAGACAGTCTCTTCAATAAATGGTGCTGGGGAAATTGGACAGCCACATGAAGAAGAATGAAATTCGACCATTCTCTAACACCATACACAAAGATAAACTCAAAATGGATGAAAGACCTCAATGTGAGACAGGAATCCATCAGAATCCTAGAGGAGAACATAGGTAGTAACAACCTCTTTGACATCTCCCACAGCAACTTATTTCAAGATACATCTACAAAAGCTAGTGAAACAAAAGCAAAAATGAACTTTTGGGACTTCATCAAGATAAAAAGCTTCGCACAGCAATGGAAACAGTCAACAAAACAAAGAGGCAACCCACAGAATGGGAGAAGATATTTGCAAATGACACTACAGATAAAGGGCTGATATCCAAGATCTATGAAGAACTTCTCAAACTCAACACCCAAAAAACAAATAATCAAGTCAAAAAATGGGCAGAAGACATGAACAGACACTTCTCTGAAGAAGACATACAAATGGCTAACAGACACATGAAAAAATGTTCATCATCATTAGCAATCAGGGAAATTCAAATCAAAACCACAATGAGATACCACCTTACACCAATTAGAATGGCAAAAATGGACAGGGCAAGAAACAACAAATGTTGGAGAGGTTGTGGAGAAAGGGGAACCCTCTTACACTGTTGGTGGGAATGCAAGCTGGTGCAGCCACTTTGGAAAACAGTGTGGAGGTGCCTCAAAAAATTAAAAAATAGAGCTACCCTATGACCCAGCAACTGCACTACTGGGTATTTACCCCAAAGACACAGATGTAGTGAAAAGAAGGGCCATATGCACCCCAATGTTCATAGCAGCAATATCCACAATAGCCAAACTGTGGAAAGAGCCGAGATGCCCTTCAACAGATGAATGGATAAAGAAGATGTGGTCCATATATACAATGGAATATTACTCAGCCGTCAGAAAGGATGAATACCCAACTTTTACATCAACATGGATGGGACTGGAGGAGATTATGCTAAGTGAAATAAGTCAAGCAGAGAAAGTCAATTATCATATGGTTTCACTTATTTGTGGAACATAAAGAATAGCAGGGAGGACATTAGGAGAAGGAAGGGAAAAATGAAGGAAGGGAAATTGGAGGGAGAGATGAACCGTGAGAAGACTATGGACTCTGAGAAACAAACAGGGTTTTAGAGGGGAGGAGGGTGCGGGGATGGGTTAGCCCAGTGATGGGTATTAAGGAGGGCATGTATTGCATGGAGCACTGGGTGTTATACAAAAACAATGGATCGTGGATCACTACATCAAAAACTAATGATGTATTGTATGGTGACTAACATAACATAATTAAATAAATAAAATAAAATCAGAGGACACCATTTTCCATCATCAATGCACATATTTAACAAAAAATATAGGTAAAAATGTAAATGATTAGTGGGGTTAAAACAAAACTTTTACAATTTATAGAGTTGGAATTTCCAGACCTTTTACCTTATTAAGTTCTTTCCGTACCAACAAAACTTCTCCCATATTTACATCAATGGAAAGGTAATAATGAGGTATGGTTTGCTTAGACTGCATTAACCGCTGTGCAATAACCTGAAATCAAAGAGATTAAAACATCATTTATCTTAAGCTCAGGTGAGACTTTACCTAATGCAGGGCTTTGTTTGCACCTTTACCCTGCTCCCTTGTAATGGCTACCTCAAGCATTACCAGAACTGGAATATGCACCAGAACCTGGGCTCCTTCTAGTAGTATTTAATCAGAGCAATGTCTGTTTATCCCAAGTATTTAATTGGCCAAACCAAACATCTTAAACTAGTCATCTAAGATTCCCAACTAAAAAAAGTGTCTGCTAGCGTTTCAAACTGTGGATGCAATTGATCAGAGTAAAGATGCCCCCACAGCTTTGGTTGCAGATTTAGAGTAATAATCTTACACGACGAATGTTGCTGATTGGGACGTCTGTGAAGACACCTGTAGGAACGGGTGCCACTCCTGGACCTGCGGCAGGCACAGCAGCTGCTGGAGCCTATGGGCAAGTACAAAAGCTCTTAGTACCTGGTATTGACTCTTACAGATGGCAAAGTAAACATTAAAAGGCTTATAGAAAATAGCTATTTCTATCCCAAGGGAGCAAAAGGGACTCAGATTTGTACTGTGCTTATGTAAGAAGTCTGTTTTTAATTTTTATACTTAGAATTCTGTGATCATGTTTTAAGTATCATTTTTGTTCAATGATTAATTTGTCAAAAAATTCTGTATTTGCAAAATTACCTTCAAGAAAAGCAATCAAAGCATTCTTAAATTAAAAGGATTAGAGATAAACGTAAAACAAGGTAATTCACTTTTCTGAACAGTGTTAAGAAAAAATAATGATAAATCTTTCATTTTATTTTAAAGATTTTATTTATTTGCCAGAGAGAGAGCACAAGCAGGGAGAGTGGGAGAGGGAGAAGCAGACTCCCCTGATGTGGGGCTCGATCCCAGGACGCTGGGATTATGACCTGAGCCAAAGGCAGACGCTCAACCAACTGAGCCACCCAGGCGTCCCATATCTTTCATTTTAAAGCAAACATCTGGGGCGCCTGCGTAGCTCAGTCCACTAAGTGCTCGCAAGGAGCCTGCTTCTCCCTCTCCTCTCTGCTCATACTCGCTCTCTAATAAATAAATAAAATATTTTTAAAAATAAATAAAGCAAACATCTAAATCACTAAATCATTTTCCTTAATTTTAGCTAATTATCTTAACACTTTAACCACCAAATAGAAGTTGATTGGCTATATGCATTTAATCCCTATGTGGAATAATTAACTACGTGAAACTCAAACTCTAGTCAACAACTTGTAAGCGTGCATTTAAAAGTAGGGCCTGGATGGGAAGGAGAGGATTTGTTAGAAAAAATTTAGTACCACTTCTGAAGAAAAAAAAAAAGGAATGCATGTCAATGCAGCATATCATCTCTCCTTTTGTATGCTGAGTGACAGCACATTCATATCTAAATACTGCTAGCCAGTAAAATTAGACAAAAAACCCCACAATTCTGGTTAAGCTATTCCGTCCATAAGTAATGTATGAAAGGGTCTAAGAGGTTGGACAGAGCATTTTGCAGGGATAAACTACCAAAAGCAAAACTAAACAAAAACGCCAAATCTAACTCACAGGAACAGCTTTCGTAGGCACAAAAGAGTCGATGTCCTTCTTAATGATTCTGCCTTCTGGTCCTGTGCCTGGAAGAGATGCATAAATATCACATGTGAGAGCAGACTACTGGTTCCTCCCGACTGCTGATCTCCAGGAGATCAACACTATGATCCTGAAGTGCAAGTTCCTAAGGGTTCTCTACCAAAGACCCTCAAAGGGGTCACTCACTGCCTTACTCCTGCACCTTAACAGTCTCCCAAAGACAGCAGCTTTTGTCAATTATTAATTATAATTCACACAGAGTACTCTCACTTGATCTACAGTGGTGCTTTTCTTTGTAACTACAGCAAATACTCTTTGTTAAGTACTTCTCTTTTAGAGTTTCACCTAAGCTGTACTTCATCTTTTCATGTTCTTTACTTTTAAACTGGGAACTACTGACATACGAATAATGCTGAGTACAATTTATACTTCCCAAGGTCTAGCTGCCTCCTCTCTTAGCCCCGAAAAACCCTTTCTGAACCTTGAAATGGATCTCATTTGGTTTCTAGATTCATTTGATCATGAAGAATTCCCTTTGTACAAAGTCAACAGATACAACAATTGTTTCGGGCATATTAGGCAAGTTAAATTTTTTCACCCCAAAATAGCTTGAGTAACTCTCAACTGCAATGATCTCATCTTCAGAATCACTCCTTCCTTGTGTGGTCTCCATCATTTAGTTTTCTCACAGTGGCCAAGGTTCTAAACTGGCCTGTGTCAGAGACTGGGAATGAAGTTACGTGCAAGGAAAGATCTCCAAATCCTTCACACAAGGAAAGATCTCCAAATCCTCTTACAAAGGGCTTACTTTTATTTTCACTCAATTCCTTCCTCCTCCCATCCACAACCAATCAGGCTTAACTTCAGACCCAAACAGATAATCCTGAACCGTAATTCTAAGAAGACTCAGAATTTAGTTATTAAAATACCTTTCACACTGGCCCACTTCTAGAAAAAATTTGGTCAAATTGATTCATCTTCCCCCAGGGCAGACTTTTAAAAGGAGTCTTGTTGTATGCAGTTCGTCCCAACTCCTTTCCTTCATTATGAAAAATGAGTTGGCTAGGATTGTGTTTATCCTCACCCGGAGCTCTAGAACAGAGGTAGCAGTACCCCTATTAGATACCCCTCCTTTATAAACAACAGAAACCATAACCTCCCCTTACCACCAAGGCAGATCTGCCACAGCCCCTCAAGAGGAAGAAACCTGCAGTATCACCTGCTTCAGGCTGGGCTTTAGCCACCCACAAGAAAGAAGGAGTCAATTGAAATCTTTTAAATCTTTTTGCCTGTCTCATGAAGAAGGCACAACAGGCCATCATAAAGCAATATGGCTTAAAGGGAAGAACTCCAAACTAGGAGTAAAAAATGTAGGGTTGTTGTCAAATATAAATTAGAAGACTAGAGTCACTTAATTTCTTCTGGTCTTTAGTCTCATCTGTAGGATAAAGATTATTAATACCGGCCCCTGCTCAAAGGAAGGCTGTGAAGATAAAATGGGATAGTGATGTGAACGTGCTTTGCCTCAAATAAATATGAAACATATATGAGTAGCTGTAAGACAAATCAAACTCTGAACATTAGGGTTTAGGCTTTAAAACAGTTTCTCCCCAAATGATTACATTTTGGTCATATTTGCTAAGTTATCTGTCCCTCCAAGGAGGGAAGGGGAACTGGAGACTGAGTTTAACAACTTCCGGCCAAGGATTTAAATAACCATGCTTCTTACAGAAACCTCCATAAAAACTCTTTTAAAAACAAGATTTGGAGCTTCTGGGTTGGTGAACACATCAATGTGCTGGGAGGGTGGTACTCCCAGGGAGGGCATGGAAGCTCTGTACCCATCTCCCCTACAACCCTTGCCCTATGCATCTCTTCTATTGACTGTTCCTGTGTGGTATCCTGTACAATAAACTAGTAATGATACATACAGTGCCTTCCTGAGTTCTGTGAGTCCTTCTAGTGAATTTGCATACATGAGGACTTGCAACTGGCATCAGAAGTAGGGGCAGTCTTGTGGGACTGAACCCTTAACCCTGTGGAGCCTGATGCTAACTCTGGAGAGTTAGTGTCAGAATAGAACTGAAGTGTTAGATACCCAGGTGGTGGCAGAGAACTGACTGCTGGTGTGGAACAAAATGTATCTGGTGACAATCACTAATCCTCTCAACTCACTTATTCTAGACCATTCCCTCTTACTGCAAAATTTCTTCAACCTCACCAGGACCCCCACTCCACTGCCTCAACTGCTCTCATCATTTCCCTATCATCTTCACCTCATCCTCACCCTGCTTACACATGGGGATCACGGTTATAATCACTTGCTGGTCAAACTCTAAACTGTCTGCCTTCTCAATGGCAGCATCAGAGTAGCTTAATGCTATTGGGATCAAAAAAGTGCACACCATGGGGCGCCTAGGTGGCTGAGTCAGTTAAGCATCCGCTTTTGATCTCAGCTCTGGTCTTGATCTCGGTCTCAGTGTTGTGAGTTCAAGCCCCGCATTGGGCTCCATGCTGGGCGTGGAGCCTACTTAAAAAAAAAAAATGTACACTTAGATGACTGATTATACTCTAAATTCAGAGCCACAAACCTGAAATAAGAATGTTTTTTCTATTTCTTTGTGTCATCTTCAATTTCTTCCATCAGTGTTTTAGAGTTTTCAAAGAATAGATCTTTTACTTCTATAGTTAGGTTTATTCCTACATCTTAGGGTTTTTGGAGCAATTGTAAATGGGACCGATTCCTTGATTTCTCATTCTGTTGCATCACTGGTGTATAGAAATGCAACACATTCTGTATGTTGATATTGTATGCAGTGACGTTACTGAAATCGTGTATCAGTTCTAGCAATACTTTGGGGAGTCTTTTGGGTTTTCTATATAGAGGATCATATCATCTGCAAATAGTGGCAGTTCTACTTCTTCCTTGCCAATTTGGAAGCCTTGTCTGACTGTTGAGGCTAGGACTTCAGTGGTGAGAGTGGACACTGTGTCTTGTTCCTGACCGTAGAGGAAAAGCTCTCAGTTGTTCCCCACTGAGGATGGTATTAGCTATGGGTTTTTCATGTATGGACTTCATGATGTTGAGGTATGTTTCCTCTATCTCTACTTCTTTGAGGGTTTTTATCATGAATGGATTTGTACTTTGCCAAATGTTTTTCTGCATCTATTTAGAGGACCATATAGTTCTTATCCTTTCTTTTATTAACGTGCTGTATCATGTTGGTTGATTTGCAAGTATTGAACCACCCTTGCAGCCCAGGAATAAATCCCACTTGATTGTGGTGCATGATTCTTTTAATGACTGTTGGATTCGATTTGCAAGTATTTTGTTGAGAATTTTTACATCCATGTTCATCAGGGATATTGGCCTATAGTGTTTTTAGTGGAGTCTTTGTCTGATTTTGGTATCAGGGTACTGCTGGCCTCATAGAATGAGTTTAGAAATTTTCCTTCCATTTCTATTTTTTGGGATAGTTTGAGAATAACAGGTATTAAGTCTTTTTTAAATGTTTGGTAGAACTCCCCTGTGAAGCTATTTGGCCCCGGACCTTTGTTTGGGAGATTTTTGATTACTGATTCAATTTCTTTGCTGGTTATTGTCTGTTCAAGTTTTCTATTTCTTCCTCTTTCAGCTTTGGTAGTTTATATGTTTCTAGGAATTTATCCATTTCTTCCAGATTGTCCAATTTGTTGGCATATTCTTTTACAATCCTTTGTATTTTTGTGGTAATGGTTTTCTTTGTGATTTACGTGGGTCCTTTTTTTTTTAAGATTTTATTTATTTATTTGACAGAGAGGGACACAGCGAGAGAAGGAACACAAGCAGGGGGAGTGGGAGAGGGAGAAGCAGGCTTCCTGCGGAGCAGGGAGCCCGACGCGGGGCTCGATCCCAGGACCCCAGGACCATGACCTGAGCCGAAGGCAGACGCTTAATGACTGAGCCACCCAGGCGCCCCTCTCTTTTCTTTTTGATAAGTTTGGGAAGAGGTTTATCAATTTTATTTTTTTATTTTATTTTTTCCAAGAACCAGCTTCTGATTTCATTGATGTTCTACTGTTTTTTTAGTTTCTGTATCAGTATTTCTGCTCTAATCTTTATTTCCCTTCTTCTCCCGGCTTTAGGCGTCATTTGTTGTTCTTTTTCTACATCCTTTAGGTATAAGGTTAGGTTGTTTGAGATTTTTCTTGCTTCTTGAGGTAGGCCTGTATTGCTATATACTTCCCTCTTAGGACTGCTTTTGCTGCAAACCCAATCGTGTTTTCATTTTCATTTGTTTCCATGTGTCTTTTTTATTTCTTCTTTAATTTCCTGATTGACCCATTCATTTGTTAGTAGCATGTTGTTTAACCTCCATGTATTTGTGGCTTTTCCAAATTTTTTCTTGTGGTTGACTTCAAGTTTCAGTGTTGTGGTAAAAAAAAAATATGCATGGCATGATCTCAATCTTTTTGTACTTGTTGAGGCCTGATTTGTGACCTAGTATGTGATCTATTCTGGAGAATGTCCCATGTGCACTTGAAAAGAATGTGTATTCTGCTGCTTTAGGATGAAATGTTCTGAATATATGTTAAGTCCATCTGGTCCAGTGTGTCATTCAGAGCCATTGTTTCCTTGTTGATATTGTTTAGATGATCTGTCCATTGATGTAAGTGGGGTGTTAAAGTCCCCTGCTATTACTGTATCATTATCAATGAGTTTCTTTGTTTGTTATTGTTTTACATATTTGGGTGCTCCAAAGTTGGGGGCATAAATATTTACAATTGTTAGATCTTCTTGTTGGATAGTCCCTTTTATTATGATATGGTCCCGTTCTTCATCTCTTGTTACAATCTTTGATATAAAATCTTGTTTGTCTGATATAAGCGCTGTTACTCTTTCTTTTGGCGTCCATTTGCATGATAAATGTTTCTCCATCCCTCACTTTCACTTTTTTTTAATTTTTATTTTTTATCCTTAAGTAATCTCCACACCCAATGTGGAGCTTAAACCCACAACCCCGAAATCAAGAGTCACATGCTCCATCAACTGAGCCAGCCAGGT